AAACCTTATTTTCAATAAGCAATCCTGAAAAATATTTGGGGGTGCTTAACTTTTTTCCAGGTGTATATATATACCTACTTAGATATGTGGGTTTCCATACTTGTGATGGGCATAGCCCAGGTGGCACTTTGTGTTGGCTTTGTACTTGATGGCAATCAGTCCTATGTCCACACCATTCTGCTATCTTTGTTCTGTTGGTGCAGTTCTGGACAACTGGAAAATTTCCAGCATCTGGTCTTTGGAAGCAGGGTTTCTCTGTCTCTTCATCTTTGAGCTGGTGGCTACTCCATAAGCTTTTTATCATCTTCTATCTCATCTGTCTAGTCTTCTTATCATGATCTGTTGTTTCTTTTTTCCCCTGATAGGGAAGCACTTGTTCCGAGGACCTCTATTTTTGTGGCTCTGGACTTTCTTGGGCCAACAACCACCATTTTAAACTGTTAACCTATTATGTCTCAAACTCTCAAGCTCTGGTGATGGATCCACTAACTCAACTAGTCTTGGACACTTCTACATCCTCTGGTGTTTTCAGTGGATTTTCTCCCACTATGGACATCCTATCATCGCTGCCTTTCCACCTCCTTCTTTACTCCTTGCTTCAGATTTATAGACCATTGCCTCCCCCCATATGAGATCTTGCAAATGAGGATGGGGACAACCCCGACACATTATGTCCCATTACTTAAACCACGGGGAAGTTTCACTTATTCTGGCTTTCATCTCCCCACAGTTGCTATTCTACACTCTTCATAGTGGCTCTGGTGATCAAATGTCTCTTTTTTTTTTTAAGGTCTCAACGATTTTGTCCACACTACATATATCAATCTATATTATGGAGACAATGGAACCCACCAAATGGCTAGTGTTGCCTCAAAGGAAATACATACCCAAAACTCAAAATCTACATTGTGTGGAGAGGTACAGAAAGCATTAAGTCTATCCACTCTTATTCAGTGCCTGCTGTTAGATGGGATTTTCCACAAAACTGCTTTGGCAAAAAAAAAAA